ACTCCGCGACCCCGACAGCGACGCGCGCTGCCCGCTCGCACAGCCCCCTTTTCTTTTCCTGCGGTGGCTACGTCGAGCTTTGATTTCTTTGGCTGGGGGTTCGGTGAGAGAAGGGCTCCAATTTTTATTTAATTCGTGCCTGAGATTTGCTGCCCAGCCATAATTTCTGAATTCAGCCGGTGGGCTGCTGCCGTTCTTGGCCATGTGTCCAGAACATCCATAAACACTTGTAAGCCCTGCTCTGCCCCCAGTGAAGTAGAGACCGGGCGGCTGGCTGGCGAGTGGCAGAGCCGGGCGTTTGGATCCCACGGAGTGGGCTGCTAAGTGGACTGTCCAAGAAATGCACCCCGGTCTGCGCAAGGTTGAGGCCAGATCACTCCCTGGCACTGAGAGTTCTGTCCCCTTCCCCCCTGTCAAGCTTGGGGGCTTGTGTGAACTCGATCCCCTCCATCAAGTATACGTGTGGAAACAAAATAGTGGAACTAGAAGGAGCTGGGGGATGCTTTCAACCTAGTTCTGGTCTCCCTGATTCAGAGCAGCCGTCTCGTTCATTTCTGCCTGGCAAAAACTTCCATTAATAAAGTCAAAGAGAGGCAATGAACTTGGGGGGAATAATTTGAAATTGATGCGGGCAAGGACTCATTTCCCTCATACATGCAAAGCTCTTCTGAATTAAAAAAATGACAACCCAATAGAAAATGAACAAAGTCTATGGGCAGGTAACAATAATGAAAATACAATGGCTGTTAAGCATATGAGAAGCTATTCAGCTGTTCTGTAATCAGAGAAAAAGCAAATTGCAGTGAGATCATTTTAACCTATTATGTTAGCAACAGAGAAGTTTAATAGCATGATTTTGAAGAGACCATGGAAAACCAGCTCTCTCATTCTTTCCTGGTGGGAGACTAAATGGGTCTGGTGGGAACTTTATCCAACAGCCAGACTCACTTGCATGAGTTGGTAGACGTATAAGGTTAGTCATCAGTCCCCACAGGTGGAAGGCTGAGCCGCTGGACAGGAAGGTACACAGTGCACTGCCAGGGGCTCGTGTCCCTGCCCTCCCAAACACCGTGCAGTGACTTTCCGGTGGCAGTTCCGCAGGTCTAGAGCGCAGCCTCCCAGACCTCTCCTGGTCATTTCACCTGTGCCTTTCCCCGCCGCCCACCCATTCTTGTTTAGCCTGCCTCTGTCCTCAGACAGTCTCGGGGCTGTTGTACTTGACCCGTCTACCTTTGGCCCCCGCCCCAGGTTTTCCACCATCTCGTCCTCATTCGGGTCTTGGCCCAAATCTTCCCAACCTCTCACAGCTCTAAACAGACCACAACAGCTAATGTGTATCCCCTCCCCCCCACCCCCGCCAACAATGACATACTCACCCTTCTTGTGACATCACTCACAATTCCCAAATGCCCAGATGGCGAGTTCTCTGGGCTTCTGCACACCAAGTAGGTGCCAGCATACGTGAACAAAAGCACAGAAAAAGAAAAGTTCACAGAAAAAAAAACGACAGGTCCCTGCAAGAGCGAAAACTGGAAGTAGACAAGACTCAAGCCACCTAAAGCCGCTTCTCAGCAATACACAGAGCACGCGGCTGGGGGTCCGATTCCGGTCATTGAATCTTCAAAAGTATGAATGTGTTCAGCATATTCCTTCTATCATGGCAAGAAATAATGCCTTTTAAGACAAGATTCCTACCCAATATTTTAAAGTTTTGTTGCTTAAGGTGTCAAATTTTGTTGTTTACAACTAATGCAATGTACAATCTTTGAACCTCAGGCAGGAAAAAAAAAGCCAGCTATAAAGGATGTTATTGGAGGAATTTGAATATGGACTTGGAACTGGACAATAGTATTCATCAATGATAAATTCCCCAAGCATGAAAATTATGTTGAACGTATCATAACGAGGATGCCCCATTCCGAGAAAATGCGTTCTGAAGACTTTAGGGTGAAACATTTCTCAAAATGTAACAAAATTGTTGACTCTAGGTGAGGGGCATATAGGTTATTCCGTAGGTTTGAAATTTAAAAAAATAAGTTACGGAATTTCTAAGTAAAACGTAAACAGGGAAGAGCTTCCGTCGCCGTCACTGGGTTTTCCTAAGAACCATGCGTTCTTCCGGGACAGAGACTTAGCCGCGGAATTAAGATGTAATCACTCGACTCGCGGCCCCAGGTCAGGGGCGGTGCTCTCAGCCCTGACGTGGGCCTGCCTTTGGCATGTCCTTTCCAGCTGACGAGTGAGTCTCATCGGTCTGGTTCTTCGTTAAATACAAAAGTCCTTCAGTACCAGACATTAGAGACACGCATATCCCCAGCCACGTCTCCACACCCCTTCTAGCTTTCGTTTTCAGTCTGGCTAGTTTTCCTTGTCCAGATAAAGAGAGAAGCCATCAGCAGATCATTTCATTCCTACTATGTGCAAAGCATTGCAGCTCACTTTATGTCATTCTTACCTACAACGGGAAGTATCACACTTGAAGCTCAGAAAAGACGACATGAGGCATTTGACATGAAGTAGTAGAGGCCGTGGCTTTGAGCAAGGATTCGCCAGCCAGCCTGGGCTCAAATTCTGGTTCTGCCGCTTAACAGCTGTATGGTCTTGGGCAAGTTATTCAACCGCTATGTGCCTCAGTTTCCCAATCTGTAATGCTGGGATAGATCATGACTCGTGGGGTTATCTCAAAAAGTACAGGAGTCACTATATGTAAAACACTAGGAAAAGTTCCTGGCACACAGCGCTCATTTTGGATTAGCAGCACTGTGATCTCGAGTCTTTTTCTAGCTTTCGTATAAAATACCAAGTAGTTCAAGGCGTCTGACTTTACCTTGTCAATGTTGATGACATCAGCGTAATCAGTGGTTCTGAATGTCTGGCACCTCCAGGGCACAACTTGGCAATTTGCACTGTGGACAGTCAAGGAACAGCCAAGGTGAGCTAGGGTCCCTGTGATGCTTCTAGGTCATGGTGGGAAGAGGGCTGGCCTGGCACTTTCTCTCCAGAGAGGGCGCTACGCCAGGTGATGCAGCCGGTGTCCAGCCCTCTGTGGTGAGGGATGCACCTTCTCTTTTTAATCAACCGTCTATTGACAAACACACAGCGCCCTATATTCGTAAAGGTGTCTGAGGTCAAAAACGGTGTGTTTTTTGCCACGTGCATCCCCTCTGTGTCAGGCTCTGTCCCCTGTCCCTGCGCCTCACGAGTGGGAGAGGACGGGCATAAGCTGCGGCTGCTCACATGATGCCGTCCGCTGATGCCCGTCGGGCGGGCTCCGCCCTAAGCCCAGGAGGATACCGGGACTTAACCAGGGAGCGAGCATAGGAGAGAATGATAAGGGCCCAAGTTACAAGGCCCGAAGGATGCTGACAGTGCCCTGGGCCACCCTTGGTGGCCAAAGCCACTTCATGGCGAAGGCAGGGCTTGAGAAAAGTGAGGGGGGTGTGCTGGGGATAATGGGGAATGGTGCACATTTCGGGACGACCGCAGGTGGCTGGGGTAGATTAATTTGGGCAGTGTAGACGGGATTGTCAAGAACAGTGTCCACCGGGAGGTAACCGGCAGGTCAGCTTAGGAAAGCTGGTTAATTAGGACGAGTGTGGCCTTCCAGCAAGCCCATGCAGTCTCCTCCTGGAGGGTCGGCACAGAGTGGACCCCAGGTCACACGGAAAGCAGCTCGGTCCCAAGCCTGGGACGCCCTGATGCCATCGCTGCCTTGTCACCCACTCACTTGCCGACCCCGAGTCGAGTCCCTCGCTGGGGCTTTCCAGAGGCGCACTCGTCCTCTGAAATGCAAAGCTGCTGACCAGTCTGGGCTTCCGAGTGACCCCCCCAAACACACACACCCGGAAGGTTAGGTGGGGTTAGGGCCGCTGAGAGGGAGGGCGGGGGATCTGGGGGAGTCTGCTCATTCCCTCAGTGCTGCAGTCCCCCGAATGCCCCCACGCTTGGGCACAGCAAGGGGGATGAAGCTGAAGGAAACGCAGAGACCGCTGGCCAGGAAGGGGGGCGGTGGCAGGGGCTGTGAGGACATGGCTGTCTGTGCACAGCTCCAGCCCCAGAAATGGCTGTGTGGCCCAAGCAAGGGGCGGACGCCGTCCGTGCTGGGCCCTGCTGGGCGCCTGCTCCCGACTCCTCGCTCTACGCCCACCCATGGGCCACCCCGTACTGACAATGGGGGCTGATAGATGGATAAAAGTTTCCATCCCCAAAGGGGCCTCACCCCTCAGAAGGTCCTTGGGGATCATACAGGGTCCCAGGGCCACCTGGTGCCAGGTTATGTGGCTGGGGACCAGACCAAGCAGACCCTGACTGGTAGCACCCATGATTTGCCATGACCCGAAAGTTCACTGCAAACATGGACTTCCCAGTAAATGGTGTAGCCCCAGGCCTAAGACAGGGTGCTGAGTGACTTAAAAATCAGGTAAGAAGAATGTCAGGAGGGAGGTCTTTTGCCAAGAGCCAAGCAGGTGGGAAGCCTCTTGTGTGATGCCAGCTGACTGGGGGTCCTGTGCCGTGACCACCGAGGCACGTGACGAAAGGAAGACGAAGGTTCTGAGACCCTCAGAGAAACTCAGGACCTTGGGGCCAGCAGGAGACTCGGCAAAGACCACTCAGCATTTAGTGTTCCATGTGCACGTTTATTTCTTTCAAGACCATTTGTGTTCCAGCCACCTCGTCCCCAAATGAACCCAGCACACGGGGGCTGGTGCAGGACCGCCCTTGGCTTTTAAAGTGCTACTGAGAAATACAATCATTGTCATGTAAATTCGTCACTTGATCACAAGCCAAACCTTTCCACATACCTAGAAAACCTTTCATTTTTTTTTTTTTAAATGCAGCTTTGATGTGACATTAGGCAAAAAAAATAAAAACTACAAGGCTAAATTTTAAATGGTACGTTGCTGACCAGTTGGAAGCTGGGCAAACTGGGCAGGTTAATGCCTCCTTACAGGTGGAGCAGGGATGCCGAGGGGAAGGAGTCACGCGGAGGTAACCTGAGTGTCCCCTGCAGGGGTTAGCGGTGCACGGCCGCTGGCTTTGGTGATAGCGCCTTGGCGGGTCTCTGGAATAGGCATGCTGACCTCCAGCTTGTACTCGGAGGCTCCAAGAGCCAGGAGCACTAGTCAGAAAACGCCCGTGTCCGGTGGCAGCGACGCGAATCCGTCCTTCTCTGTCTGCTCAAGAGGAAACGTTTGCAATGTTCTTCTATCGACGCGGTGGTAGAACCAATCAAAAAATCTAGACAGGCCCCTAATTAATGATTGGTTAGCAGTGACCGGCCAGGCAGCCATCACAGGAGTCAAGGGCGGGTCTTGAACTTAAACTTGAGACTTGATATAAAGCGCTCTGTCTAAACCTTCTTCCTTGCAGCAGGTTTTCAATCGGAATGATGAGACGGGCACTTTTGTCAATGCCACGTTAGAATGCACTCACGCGTGACACCCCACTACTCTCCTCCACGAAGAACACGCACGTCCTGACACACGCACAGGGCGGAAGCGTGGCACGCCCATCGAAAGCAACGGGCACTCCTGGGTCCAGACAGACATGCGTTAATGTTAGTGTTCGTAAGGAATCACTTTTAAGATACCATTCTGCAAAAATTTCATCAAGACCAAAAAAAAAAAAAAAAAACCTCAAAACCATAAAAACAAAAAGCCGTCAAGCCACTCACATAGGTGGCAAAGGCAAGGGACTAAATGCTCTACAAATTGGGGTGTTTCGCCTTTGGTGCATAATCTTTACAATATTTAACCTTACTGACACCGACTTCCCACAAACACCCCACGCCATTAAAACGCAAACCTGGATAAACGGCGTGGAAGAGAAACGTTCACAGTATCGATACCACCCACCGTCTCCCGGCGCTACCCTGAAGCTCCCCTCATGTTCCGCATCCTCCTTGTCCCCTGCTACGTGAGCACCCTCCATACCTTCAGCAAAGGCCACCACGGATACCAAGGGCGTGTGTCTGGAGGACGGGCTCTTGGACTGTTCTCAAATGTCCGCAACAGACATCAAGAGACCTGGGTTTCCTTGACAACACTCTGCCTCCCGGAACCCACCTGCTTCACACTCTCGGGAGAGACAAGCCCACCTGGACCCTGGAGAGGTTTCAAGTCACGAGGAAGCTGAGAAAGCCACGCCCTTGATGAGGCGTTAAACAGTGAATGGCTAAAAACAAATTTTGTTTTTAGAGGGTGAGGAAACTTAATCTAAAACTCCGATACCTTCACCTTGGAATAAACTGAGTCCATCTGAATTTCAAAATCAAACAAAGAAAAAACTACTAAAAACTTCTGATCAGTGTCTGATATTTGGACACATGATATCCTCTTAGAATCTTAATTTTTATGTGTCACACACTCCACCTACCACGAGGAAGAACAGAAATCCTTCAAGTAAAACAAAACATTAAAAGGACCATCGGTCTTTGGGGGAGTAAGATTTTTTATAACTCCAGATCCCATCGTGTATATATCAGGCTAAGTCACGTGAGATGTCTGTAACTCGATCGTTTGACTAGAGACTAGAATGGGTTACTAACCTGTGGGGACTAACTTAGTATTAATATAGTTTGTAATGCCAGATGCTATTTTACAATGACTAAAATTGGAATATAATCTTTAAAAACAAAGTATGGTAAATAAGTTGCTTTACAGTCACTTGTAATTACTGGGATACCTAAGAATTTTTTAATGTGCATATTAAAGTAGAATTCTTAATGTAGTTTTCTAAATTCTCCCTCTAAAAAAGGAACAAATTCTATAATTTTGATTTTTATAAAGCTTTTTGTTCATCAATGGCTCTATTACCCCCTGAAATATATGTTTAAGGATTAACGAAAGCACCTGTAGGAAAGAGCTCACCCAATTTCACGTCCGTGACAAAAGCCAAGTTTTCACGAGAGCCTTTTAAATCGTGTTGGAGAAAATGAATCTGATTCAACCATCAGAACCTTTCATCCTGATGACAACTACATTTTAACAAGCACATCTCCTAAAAGTGGCACGTTCGGGAGAGGACCAATGTGACAACTTCGTTGCACCGATGTGGAAGGTAATTTGAAAGACACTCGGGGATATTGAAATTGTATATCGAGTTTATCATTTTTTTCCGTCACAAATCAAAACAGAGCCACATCAAAATGTGTGAAGCATTCACAGTAGAATTTTCAAGGGCCCAGAAAGGACTCTGATGCGCACGTGGCCCACTGGCTGTTAATCTTCCATTCCTAAGACTCTCACCCGAGACGTAAAATAGTTTCCTCTTTTGCCCTAATAGTACTTTGTTTCGGCCGTTGGCAATATTTGGCAAACCAAGCTTGGACTAAAGAAAACCCAGGTGTGTGTGGGTACCACACTCCCGGAGCTGTTCACTGGAGAGGCTCGCTGCACTCTTTTCGAAAGTGTGCCAGATGGGGGGAAGAATCCGAGTGTCGACTGCCACACCATATTATTAGAGCTTTTGACACTATAGAGAAAAATGTCAAAACCACATTAAGAATTTATATATCTCCCACTTGCAAATAGGCTCAAAGTAAACTTAGAAAAGTGTTCGGCATAATATGCATAGGATATACTCAGTATTTGCATAATTTTTCAAGTTCTATGGCTAATAGCAAAGGCAAACGTCTTCCTACATTTGTCATAGTGTTTCCACTCCTAGGGTAACTTCTCTACCCAAATCCGCCGACGTCCCACCCCTCGGTACTCAGGGCCAGCTGCACGGTTTCATCTGGAGCTGCCGCTTCGGAGAGGTGACCTACGCACTCCGTTCACAGTGACAGCACAGAGGTCGCCTCCTCCTCGTGCTGCAGCCCAGGTGTGGACTCAGGATGATGCCCGGCAGAGCACAGAGAGGGTGAGCCCGAGCCCCCAGACCCGCCCCCTCCACGGCGCGTGGCGCTCGAGTTCATCGTGTCGACCTTCGTCTAATCTGGAACTCCGGCCCACGGACGTGGCGGAGGGGCGCCGTCGCCCCGGGGTCTGGTGGTGAGTGGGCTTTGCCGGCTGGAGACTCAGGTTCTCTTCCCCTGGAAAAGGTGGCACGCGGCACCAGGCGGCACCTGACCGCTGGCCGGCACCCCCGCTCCGTCCTGGCGGGTCGCTCGCCGCATGTGGCCGGGCGCGGGCCGACCGCAGCCTAGGCGCAGGACTCCCCGTTCACCGCACTCTTGCTTCTGTGCCTGGACAGCAGCCTCCTGTTGAGGATCCTGGCGAGCGTGGCACCCTTCCTCCGCGCGCCCTCCGGCTGCTGCAGGAACACGAGGTCGTTGTGCGACTGGCTCAGGCCGGGCTCCTTCTGCGGCCGTCGCCGGCGGAAGAACAGCTTGGCGCCTCTCCTCAGCAGGCCTGGGAGAGCAGAGCACGGGGGCTGGTCAGGGGGCTGTGGGCGACGCGCGACCACGTTGAAAAGGAAAAAGGACCTTGCAGTGACCGGTAAGGAGTGGCGTGTCACCCCCGGGCGCCACTGCCGCTGGCGTGGGAAAAACAGCCCGATCTGGCCTGTGTAAACCCTGGAGTCTTCGAGATGGAACGAAGGTGAGAGCAGAAGCAGTGGGCTGGGCGGCCGCGTGGCGTCCAGCCCCCGGGCACAGCCCGTCAGGCCAGCTGCTGGCAGGCTGCCCTCACCTGGGCCCCTTGGCCCCCTCCGTCCCATGCCCCCAAATCCCTTTCACTAGACAGGGTGCAAGTGGCAAAGCAGTACCATGTGTCCCCCAAAAGGATGGTCACCTTGTTAAAACCAAATTAAACAGTTATGACAAGTACGGTATTTTAGGGAAGCTAAACAACATTTATTCTTTGGGGGAGTCAGATTTTTTTATACCTCCAGATCCCATCGTGTATAGATCAGGCTAAGTCACGTGAGACGTCTGTAACTTGCTCGTTTGACCCGCCAAGCCCCAGTGTCATACGGTCTGACCAGTCTGTACATGGGGTCAGGTAGTGGGCCAGGGAATGGGATGGAACAAAATAGCAGCAGCCAAGGGCCGTTTCCACAGCAAGGATCCCTTCAAGGTCAAATGCGAGCTAACGCAGCACGGGGTTAGAACCCACCGACACCTTCGCAGACTGGCCGGCCATCCCGTTAGCCCGCTGGGGAGGTTCATTACCGCTCGCGGGCAGGGGTCAGTGACGGCGAAGGGAGGTGGGCCTGACGACCCCGGAGGGGAGGAGCCGCGTCGCTAATGTGGCCATCCGTCCTTTCCCTGCCGGACCCCACAGGCAGGGCGCCCACGAACCCCCGCCACATCCATTGGGGGCGGGGCCGTCCGAGGAGCAGCAGCTCACTCTGTCCCCACCTGTCCGCGGGCCTCGGGAAAAGCCGCACGCTCGCCACTTTGGGAGGCCACGTACTGAACCTGGCGCCCAGGACGGACCTCACGTCCCGGGCGAGGCGAAGCAGCAGGACGGACCGGCTCGAGCGTGCCAAGGACTGGACGGAGCGGACCTGCTCCAAGCCGCTGCTTGGTCTCCGCTCCGGCCTGTTCCGAAGGATCGTCAGGGGATTCCTCACACTCACCTGCAGCCGGGAGCCGCGTGCGGGGCTGAGGAGGGGGGGCGCATGCGGGCATGAGCGGCCTCGCGGGCCAGGCGTGGGACATCTGCGGTCTGTACGCACCGTACGCACCAAGTCCGCAGCTGCACAAACCCCCGTAAGAGGCAGCGCGCCGCGGACGACCGCCAGGTGGGGTGTGTTGGGGTGCAGATCCTGCACCGGCTGCCCGCGGGGTGCCTGCAGGGGCGCCCGCTGGTCAGTCACTGGGTGAACCAGATCCCTGGGCGCAGCGAGGGGCCCCAGGCTGACCAGGTGACCTCGGGCTGGGGGCCTAGGAGGCATTTCTGACCTGTGGGCACCGGCTTTTGGTTGGTGTGATATCCCCCACGGATACAGGACATGGGGCTCTCACACTGGAGCAGGGGGCAGGAGGGGCTGAGGGGTCCACCCGGTTAACTCGGACTCTCCATGGCCCCCTCAAGTCTCTTGGGGAAGAGGAAGTGTGTGGATGCGGGCAGACCAGCCACCCACAGGCCAGCTGCAGGCCTGGGGGCTGAGCCAGCGGTCAGACGTTCTGTCCCGGAGGCCCCATCGCCAAGGCCACGTCACGTGTGTCCCTGCGCTGATGACTCTGGGGGCGGAGCCAGGGCCCAGGGTGTGAGCAGGGGCAGTGCTGTGGGCTGAACTGCATCCTGCAAAATTCACGTGGTGGGTCCTAACCTCCAGGTACCACAGAACATGGCCTTATTTAGAGATGGGGCCAACGCGCAGGTGACTAGGTGACAGGGAGGCGACGCGGGTGGCCCTGTTCCAGTGTCACTGGTGTCCTTATGAAAGGGGGAATTTGGACCCAGACACACACAGGGAGCCACCACGTCAAGGTAAAGACAGCTCGGGTGAGGCTTCTACAGGCCAAGGAGCCCCGAGACTACCAGCGACCACCAGAGCTTGTGGGCACCTGGGACAGATCCTCCGTCACGGCCTCCGGGGGAACCAACGACTCATCAGGCCTGGTTTCCCTGACTTGACGTGACTTATCATGGCTTTCACAGGGAACAGCATCAGCTTCTTGGACAGAGGACGGTCCTGTGAGGGGAGGTTTGCAATTCTACAGGCTGGAGTCCTGGACACGTCTTCCCGTGACCTCTGACGGACCTCGGCCCTGGCTAACAAACGAGGAAGCCTCGCTAACACGGGCACAGGCTGGTCGGCTGCGTCCTTGCGCCCAGCTCGCCTGTGCCGGTAAGGGTGGCCTCGGTGCTGAAAGGGGCCGGACCTACCCCTGAGAAGCAGCCGGCAGGTGTCCGATGATGTCACAGCAGAGCCCTGCACCCTGCGTGGACTCGGACAGGCTTCTGGAACGACATGACTCCCTCGAGAGGCATGCTGGTGACATGGGAAAGACAGGACATTCTAGCCATGTGCACCCGTCTCCAGGGCCCACCGTGAAACTCCTCAGCATGAAGAGTAACTGGCATCAACAGAGGTGACTCCGTTGTCATTTCTGAACAAAAAAACGTTACCGTCTGCTTAAACTTGGCCGCTATATCACAGAAAGTGCAGGAAGAACATGGCCTGTGGCGGGGTGGTCGTGGCCCAGACAGGCAAGCACAGGAAGTAGAACTACACGTGGCGGCCTTGACTAACGATGACCGTGTGGTCAGCTTTCTGTGTCCACTGGGCTGGAGCACCCCGTGACAAACGCTGACCTAGGCGTTGCTGGGAAGGTGTCTGGTGGAGGAGGGTAAGACCAACCATCTGCTGGCCTGACCCAAAGGAGATGGCCCTGGATAACGGGGATGGGCGGCATCCAATCACTAAACGCCTGAAGCACGAAAGCCAGGGCTTCCTGGAGGAGGCGGCTTTGCCCGCGCCTCGGGCCAGCTCTGCAGTCTCCGACTCCTCGGCGCCCAGAGTCACGGGAGCCAGCTCCTTAAGACACGGAGCCTCTTGGTTCTGGTTCTTGGGAGACCCCTGACTGATACCAGAACTAACGGTCTGGCCTGTCCCATGGGACCTGCCAGCTAGCTGATAGGGACGCTCATGGCAGTGGGGTGAGGCCACCAGGCTTCACGAGCCTGACATCTGTGTTCCCAGCCACCTCATCCACACCAGCGGGCACGGAGCAAGACTCAGACCACCGAACCTCAAAAGTTCCCCACGGTGAGACCGGGAGACAGGCTCTGTGAACTGTGAGGCAAATAAACAAAATCTTAAACGGGGGACAGGAAGGAGGAAAGAAACCTTTGCTTGGTTCTAGCTACGTTTTTTTTGAAAAAATCACGAGAAGACTGAAGGATAAACAATGTGTGAAGGAATTAAACGTAATCACTAAATCACAGCTTTAATCAACTCGTCCCCTTGTCTTCACAGACACAAACAGCTCATTGGAGGAGCCGTCTGAAGTGTCCCGCGGGCAGGAAGACGGCAACCAAAAGGGACCTTATACATTGTAGTTCGCCGCCCGCGGAGCAGCGTTAGATGTGAAGCGGAACCACGGAAGGGCCGTTTACAAAAGCGACTGCTCTTTAGAACTGAACACGAGGAAGGGAACTCTGTACACATGTCGCAGCGAGCGGCTTTGTCCCATCGGGTAACGGAGACGTGCTCTGCCCTCCCCGGCTGAGTTGAACATGCTATGGTGAGCTGACCGGGGCACTTTGGAGGAGGAAAATGGGAAAACTAGCACCCTGGGAAGATAAAACTAGAAAGGGATGGGGGGGGGGAGGAAGGGGAGGGGACCAATTCCTCTTCGTTACGGTATGTGCTTTTCTCACAGCTTTACTTAATTTTTTAAAAAAGTATAAGACAAAAATAACTTACTGTGGAGGCAATGAATGCTGGTTGGCATAGC